AAGAGGGAGGGAAAGTAAGAGATAGAGAGAGGGAGATATGTAGGGAGAGAGAGAGAGAGAGAGAGAGAGAGAGAGAGAGAGAGAGAGAGAGAGTGAGACAGAGGAAGAGAAAGAAGGGAGGGAGAAAGAGATCGAAACGGAAAGAAAGTCATATAAAGAGAGAGATAAACAGAAGAAAGAGAGAGAGAAAGAAAGAAAGAGTGTGTGTGTCTCATCTCCTTCATGCGTAACGTTTTGTTCCCTTAACTGCAAAGGGGCTATTATATTCTCTCTCTCTCTTTCTTTCTCTCTCCTTTTAATAACCTCATGTCATCATCTCGCTGCCTTTCATATCATCCTCACATTTGTCATTTCTTCTCTAGTGTCCAAACACAGCTTCCTTCATTATTCTGTGATTAAAAGGTCACGTTTCAGTCATGCCGACCTTCAGCCTGCTCTCAGATTTCAGCCATGCAAGTCATGTTCTCTCTCTCTGTCCTCTGGACCTCCGCTTTAACACATCTGGGTTAAATGTTCTGTGGTGGGTATTGCCTGGAAATGGCCAGTGTCAGATATCAGAGTGATGTCAGTGCTGGAGAAATGACCACATCTGAACTGTGCCAGTGTTGTATTCAGTGCATTGGCTGGTTCCTAAAGGGTTCTTGGTTTGGATGCATAAAAAAAAAAAATAAAATAAATAAAAATGCTACAGAATCTTTACAACAGTGGTCCTCCAGCCCTGCCACCCCCCCATTACTTAACTCTAGTACATCAAGCCAATCAGGGACTTGGGAAGAGATTGATTATCTGGAGTAGGTGTTGCAAATTCAGTTTGGAACTAGACTCTGCAGGAAGGTAGCTCTCCAGGAACAGGGTTGGAGACCACTGCTTTACAATGTATGTGTTACAAAAGAGAGGCATTGAAGCAGGATGTAGATGTAAGTAGAATCATTTTATTAAACATAAATACAAAGAGAAACACTAAATAAACAAAAAGACACACACAAAGAAAATAAAAAACAAACACTCAACATAGAGGATGGAGAGAAAAATGAGAGGTACTCATACATGAGAGAAATGTAGAAGCATTGAGGATGGAGGGGAAACAAACATAACACTGGTGGAAGGACTAAGAGGTTAATCAGGACCACAGAGGAAATGCAGAAGGAGACTGGAGAGTAAGGAGGAGGGAGAAGGAAGCCATACAGTGCTGAATTAAAGACTTACAGTGTTGGATTAACATCTACAGTGTTGAATTAACACCTGCAAATACAAACTGTAGGTTAATTAGGTGTTTAATATTAAATGTAGGTTATTGTAGCTGTAGGTCTTTAATTCAACACTAGATATTATTCATGAAACTGATCTGGCTGAAACATCTGATTGGTTAATTCACACCCAAAGTCATTGTAAACTACACAATATACCTACAACAATGAAATTCTGTATTAATGTTCCATGTTATGAAAGCCATTGTATTGTTCTTAGAATAATTTTTGCCTTGCAGCCACAACCAAGCAGACTGCTTACAAACTATGTTGCTTTATAGAACAATTGTCATTTATATCAATAATTATTGATGTAATAGTAGTATATTTTATCAGAAGATTCATAGATACTGAATAATTGATAGTAGTTACTGAATAATTCATAGATACTAATATCATAGACTGAATAATAGTATTTGCTGCATAATTAATAGTAGTTACTGAATAACTTACAGAAGTTACATAATATAAAGAGATATAATTGAATAATTGAGAGCAGTTAATGAATATTTCATAGTAGTTATTGAATAATTGGCAGTAATGACTCTAGAATGTATAATAATTACTAAATAAGTAATAGCATTTGCTACATAATTAATAGAAGCTACTGAATAACTTGTAGTTATAGAATATTTATGGTAATTACTTAATAATCATTAGTAGTGAATGAATAATGAATAGTATATACTACTAATTCATGGTAGTTACTAAATAATCAATAGTAGTTACTGTGAGTTAATAGTAATTACTGAATAATTAACAGTACTTTGCTGCCTTTGGAACAAAACCTTGTATCTCCATTCTTGTCATTTTTCAGTTTTTGACATAATTTGAAAATGCCTGTGGCCTTTTATGTTGTGTGTAAACTTCAGGATGAATGGACCAAAAGAAATGGCCCAAAATTACTTGGACAAAAAGTCTGGTTCCATTGACTTACATTAAAGGTAAAGTATGTTTTTTGCTTCTCCTGTAAAGTTACCATTTTGGAGATTTTGTTCCGACAGCATCTATAACAGACATGGAGTACTATCTCAGTGAAAGGGGTTAACCCTTATTTGGTTCTGTGATTGTGGTTCGATGGTGAGTGATGTTATTTTCTCTCAAGTTTGATTTCTGTCTGTGTTCAGAAAAACTGCAATCAGCAGGAGTCTTACTGTAAACAACATTGATCCTCTCACTTCATCAAACAGCAGCTCATCTCTCTCTCTCTCTCTCTCTTTCTCTCCCTCTCCCTCTCTTGCTCTCTGTGTAGTGTAGTCAACTATAGCCTGCAGGCATCGCCAGGCATTAACTACTGGACAATAATTTGTAATCAGCTGTGGTACCTGGTGTATTGGTGGTCTGCATGGTACACATGGGGGAAAAGAGAAAGAGAGTGAGAGAGAGTGAGAGAGAGAGAGAGAGAGAGAGCGAGCACGAAACAGGGTGGAAAACAGTGAAAAAGTGAATAGTGAGAAGGAGAGAGAGATAGAGGAGAGTAGAGAGAGATAATAGCAAGATCAAGAATCAGCGAAAGCAAGAGAGAGGGAAACCGAGGCAAAGAGAGAAATGCTTCTCTCCGCTTCGACCCGCCTCCCTCCCTCTCTCTCTCTCTCTGCCCTCCCTCTCTCGCTCACTCTCTCTCCCTTTCTCTCTCTCTCACTCGCTCGCTCACTCTCTCTGTCTCTGTCAGTGAAGTTGCGCTGCGCTCAGCGGCAGAGATGGAACAGCCCGGAGCCGGACGCATCGGCCAGTAAGTGCTGCCTTCTTCTCCTCCATTCATCACTCTACTTTTCTTTTTTTCTTCCTGTTCAGTGAACATGGGTTAACATTATTCTGAAAATGGCAGTTGATTTAGAGCAGCATTACACTTAAAGGCTGATTTGTCTTTGCTAAACTCGTGGCATACTGTAGTTTGATAGGAGTCACAGGTTCAACCCTACTTTGATAAGACTTCTTATTATGTTATTGTTGCTTTTATTATGGTATCGCCTATATTAAAGGCTGATGCTGTCCACAGTGCTGAAACCAAATTCTTATGAAGTGTTGAGCTGTTCGAGGTGCTGAAATCACAGTCTTCTCATAAAGTATGAAGATGTCCATGGTTCTGAAATTTTGTGGGGCTGAAATCATTACTGGTTCTTAATTACTGGAATTCTTCGGTATTATAATGGATAGTGTTGGTTACAGAACTAAAATAATTTCTGAACTTCTTTTTTATAGTTATGCTGTTGGGATGTTTGCGTGTCTTCATACTACCTGTGGTGCTGTTCAGAGCACTGAAAGCATTGCACATCATTCACCAACTCAGGTGGTGAAATATTTGCCAGTCTCCACTGGAATGCTCACTATTCTGGCATTAAACGCTAAGCCATTCCACCACGATAGACCCTGCAGGCTAGACTGAAGGATTGCGATGTGCTGTCCATTGGTCTGAAGTCCTTTCTAGTCTTTGTAATGAACCTCTAAACCATGCAATGCTCTACACATATTTATAGTTGTACTTTATTATTGTTTTCTATAGTTAAAACTGTGTTGTGTTGTGCATGATGTTGAAATTGAGGGTAGACTGGCTGATTGTGCATGGTGCGATCTTGCTGAATCTCTAACTAAAATGCTCCCTGGATCTTGTAGTAAACTGTAAGCCATTCCATCAGAATAGCTCAGAATGGGTTAGATTAGAGGCTCACAGCTATAAAGTCACTGCAGGACTTCTGAGATTGTTGCATGTCTTCATTTAAAGAGTGGTGCTTTGGTTTCAAAATGTGATCTTCAGTATTACTTTGGTGCTCTCCATGGTGCTGAATTCATTTCATGTCTTTATAATAATCTTGGTGCTGAAATATTTACTTGTCTTTACCAGAAAACCCAGTGGATTGGTATTAAATTATAAGCCATTTCAACAGAATGGGCTTTACAGGTTATTAGGTTCAATTGGAGTGTCGTGGGGTGGTTCTGAAATTACTACAGGACTTTAGAAATGTGATCTTTGCATGTCTTTGCCGGTCTCTACTGGAATCCCACTGGTCTTCATACTCAAATGCAGCATATGGAAACAGTGGCATGGATTCTGTACATATTAGGAATCTGTGTCAAGATGTTCAATTGTGCCACAAAATAAAAGCTATGGTTAGAATTCTTCTCCTTTTCTCCTGATTGCAGATAAGTACCACATGCGAAGCATTGATGCAAGAGAAGATTTCAGTGCCTGACCAAGTTTTTTTTGCAAATAACTTACAAACTGAGGGCTTTTTGCAAATAACTTACAAACTGAGGGCTTCCCGACAGACACACCCGGGCATGATCGGCTGTCTTGTATTTGTTGACCTGACCTGACCTGGGTTCAGATGAAACTCATTTATTTTGCAGTGGGGGTCAGAAAAATCAAAATCCCAGACCATGACGTAGCATGGAAAATTAGCTTGCGGAAAGATGAAGGCGCATGTTTGGGTGTGTTTGTGTGTTGGAGTCTCCTCTCGTGAAGTGAAGAAGAAGAAGCGTGTAATCAGAGCAAATGAGTAAATGAAGCAAATTGAACCACACTCTCAAAACAGATGTGTTAAAAGCAACATCTGTATGTCGATGTTAAGGACGATATATATATTTTACATACAGTTCTTCAAGCCAGTTTTTTGTAATAGGCACATTTTTTAGATATATTCCAATTACACGATCTGACATGTTCTTGAATCCTGACACACAATGCGTTAGACTAGTGGTAGCATAAAAAAGTGTGTTGTTAATTAACACATCCTTTTCGAGAGTGACGAAAACATGGGCATTCAGCACCTCCTGCTGCTCCTCATCTACCTGGACCCACTGTGTGGCTTGAATGCAAACAAAAGGAGCAAAGGTCCACCAAGAAAGAGTGGAAAAGTGAAGGAAGTGAATGGCACTGCAGCTCCATCCGTCATCAAATCCACCACCGGCACCGGCCCTGGCACGGCATTGCCTAGACGAATAACGCAGCTTTCTCCACCCACGCTGGCAGGAGACCATGACACATGCCTTGGCTACTATGATGTTAGCGGTCAGTATGACAAAGAATTTGCCTGCAACAACACGGACCACCGTTACTGCTGTGGCTCCTGCTTCCTGCGCTTCTGCTGCCCGATTCGCGCCAAGCGGCTGGAGCAGCGTGCCTGCACCAACTACAACACACCTGACTGGATCAAAACCCAGCCACCCTCCCCGGCACCCACTGGCGAAGTGTATGACCCGGCACTGGACCGAACAAACACCACCGTCTACATCGCCTGCGGTGTCATCGCCCTCATTGTCCTGCTCGGGATCTCCGCCAAGGTGGCCTACGACAAAGCTACGAGGCCGCCGCAGGAGATGAACGTGCACAGGTAAGAGAGAGAGAGAGAGAGAGCTGTCTTGAAATGGTGTTGATCTAATTGTAGTTTCACACTTAACCCTTTATTTCATACAAAGACTTATTATTCAGTAACCACAGGGACTTCAATGCAAAATAATGGAGCTATTCTTATGTTATAACAGTGTGTAATAGACTTTGGTGTAAGTGGTTAAACTCCATAACCCCTTTAAACTTTATGAATCACAACTGGAGATCCTTTAAAGTTTACACTTAGGCTTAATCTAGGTCTGAGAACTGTCCTTTAGGTTACATATGGGGGCACGCACTTCAGTTCCTCACTCTGATAAGTACGTAACTTATTTACTAGTTTCATAGTAGTTTCTGAATAATTTCTCAATATTAATCTTACAGGGTCTGTGTATTGCATGATTTCCTTGATTTTCTTGATGTCCATGTTTGTGTGTTTCTATGTATCAAAACCAGTCATAATGTGTTTTTATATCATCAATTCTCAACCACTCTTCATCCCTTAGAATAAAAGAGGTATTTATTGTTGTGTCTCAATTTTTGCTGTAGTATTTGAATCCAGCAGCTGCCATTTACATAGTGTGAACATTTATTGATTGGACAAATCAAAGTGCTCTAAGATTGTTTGGAATAAAATTTCTTTACATTAACTTACATTAAAAGTTAAGAATGTTTTGCCTTCTCCTGAGTAGTTATATTACGGAGAAATAAGTTTGTATTGGCCAGCGATGATATGTTAATGATCTTTGATCTAATTGGCTCCTCTTTATTGTGGCCTCTTCAAAAAGCAGTTCGGGCTGAAACACGCCTTATAACTTCAGTGTGAATGGGTGTGGCTAAACTGCTGTAGGGCAGTCATATGTGAATATTTGTATTATTACAACAATGACCAAAACTACAAATGCTGTTTTTCTATTATAATTTCCACACTGTTTTGGGGAGCGAACAGTATGTTTTGAAACTTGTTTACATGGTGCATCAAACTCTGGTTCTCAAATTAGTCATCAGGGATCCCCAGACAATCCATATATTTGCTTTATCTCTATGTGTTGCAAGTTAGAATAAAAATCTAGAACCAGTTTGAGAACCATTGCTTTAAAAGGCTAAAAGAGTTTTATTTTCTGGATTTATGTTTCATGATATGTATAAAATAATAAATTCCATATCAAAATCTGAATGACTTTGTTTACAGCTTAACAATTTAAGTATGCAGATAAAAATAGAGGACTACTGTAAGAGTTTAATTCAACCTTATTGATCTTTAATTCAACACGGTAGCTGTTTAATTCAATGCTGGGGGTGAATTGGGGCAGACTAAAGAAAGTATTCATGCTGTATATAAACATATGAAACCTTTATGTTGGTGAAAAAGTCAGTTTGTGCATCTGAACTAGTGTCAAACCAAATAGTGTTACATTACAGGCCATTCCAACAGCACTGACCCCTAGGGATAATTTGGGCTAGACTTGAGAAAGGTTGTGCAGCATATGACCTCATGAACAATGCTGTTATAAATTGCCTGAAGCAATTATTCTGAAGAGGAAGTTGGCCAAAATAAACCTGAAAGGGTAATTGGGTAACTGGTAAGTGGTCAGTGATTGGATAATTCGTAGGTGGTCATGCAGTATATAACCATGCTAAATGATTATGTTGTAAATTAAGTAATCAGTTCTGAGTCATATACTATACTGGCGAGAAGGAAGAAGACTTTGGTGCAGATGCTCTTTTCTAGTGGAAGAGTGACTTGGCCATGTAAAAGTCTTTCACAATCTGCATTAATGTTTCAAGATGTTTCTCCAGTGTTTTGCATTGACAACAACTATTGGTTGTTCCTGGGAATGTGTTGTGTAGGCCATTAAATCAATATGTGGGATAATTAAAGATGGAATATAGTGTCTTTTAAGGCTGTCCCAGACAGCAAGAGCCTGCTGGCAAACTATTTTAAATAGTAGTAAAATGTTGGTCATGTTAACAGCCTATAGCTACCTGTTATCAAAAATAATGCTTATAGCTTTTACTTGCTGAAGCCTTATAATGGTAAAAAGTTAACTTGAAGCTGATTATTCTTGACTTCCCAAGCCCCTGCCTCACTAATGCAAATTGATCAACACCCAATGTCAAACCAGTGTAGGCCCATGGTCCAATAGTGGCCGCCAGTCAATGTCAGGCCAACCATCCAACACTGGTCGGCAACCAATATCAGACCAATGTAGGACCAGCATTCATTTTGCTAACATATGCAACATCATTAAGCCGATCTTTGGGCCAATGTACGTTTATCACAGGTCTGAAACAAAACTTGGGGGATAGGGCAGTGGATTTGCAGTTTAAGGCAGGCCAACGGATAAGAGATGGTTTGCGTGGATGGAGCGTTAATATTCATAGAGAATTAATATAATATCAGGTTACTATTTACTGCATTTCCTTCATCAATACATCTATTCAGCATTTATTCTTTGTTAAATCATGGAGCTCTGCACAGTTGCATTATTGTTAAGAAAACCCAAAGCATTCTGTACAATCAGGATTACTATTACTGTTCCTAGACATATGACTGTTCTAAATCCAAGTCAATGAAATGTTATCCTAAACCTGTAGGTATTCTCTCATGGTATTTTAGTAAGTTAGCACATTGATCGTGAGGTACATGGAAAATGGGTTTCATACTTTCCCTTTAATAGGAAAAGCTCCTCTGTTGCTAGCTAACATGACTTTTGCAGCTAACATCCCTCAGTTTTCTCAGTACATCCATCAATTTTGGATCTATTTAGTTCTCTACTATATAACATGAGTTGAATTTGCATGGTCAGATGAAATCCAAACCAAGACTAGGTCATTTGCTCTATGGTCTGACAGTGGCCTTTGGTCTGACAGCAGGATCATAACAACTTTTGTAGATAACAAGTCTGCATGCCCTGGCTTCATCTGGCCTACAGTAGCACTGCCCTGCATATTTAGGTATTTCTCTGCTCTAATACATCTGTCTAAATTTATTAGCTCATTAACAAGCCTCCTCTGAGTTGACGTTGGTGTGGTAGAGTAGGGAAAAGCCTAAAGTATGCAGGAGCATGATTGAGAGCCACTGTATTAGTTAGAGTGACGGTTTTATGTTTTACCTGCTGTAGAGCAACTAATTAAACACTTTATCTCATCATCAAGTCCTTTAAATAAAATGTCATAGAGCAGTGGAAACAAAAGACCATGCAGTGTGCATATAAACTCAAGACAAGCAGCGTCTATTACACGTTCGAAAAAACTACTTGTGAATCATTCAAAGCACATTGTGAGGTGCAGATTCGTTGGATTTCCTCTGAACTGGATAGTCCATCTTCGTCGTTGTTGAAGTTACAGCCATTTTAGGCGCATGCAGAGCAGCTCTCGCTGGAACATTGTGTCAGCCGTCCCACTGCGGGCTGCAGGTGTGGAGGGCTAAATGGGGTGATTGCGGCGGAACACGGTGACTGGTGTTTTTAACAGCACAAAGCATGACCTGTTCTATAAGAATAAAGCAGGCAGTGTAGTCAGAAGTTTGGAGAAGTAGGCCACACAAACGCACAGCTCGAGTGCTCTCATTTTACTGGAAGAAAGGTGGTTAAGTTAGCTACAGCGATCCAGTTATACAATCCATAATGGAGTTATCATGCACAGAGCATGCTCTGATTCATAGAGTTGAACAGCTTTGTTTTAGTTGCTTTCTATAGACCAAGTACACTTGGGGAATGTAGACTTGTCCTAGCAGAATTTGTGCTCATGTTAATGGACAGTACAGAATACATATAGTAAGCAAAAGACATCACAAAATATACAGTACTGTGCACAACTCAGAGACCACCCTTATTTTTTTAAGAGATATTTCTGAGAAGGTTAGATACAAGATACATTTGTAAAAGGAAGATAGTCAAAGAAAGAGTTTCCAAACCTAGAGTTCAAAAAATTATTAAAAGATGTGGAGAAAATGTGGGTCTTAACAACTTTTGATTTACGTTTATGTCTTTGGCAGACAATCTTATCCAGGGTGACATTCATATCAGAGACGTAGGCAAATATAGCAGGAGTCTTAGTGTAGAGTGGTGGGCTTGCCTGGGCAGGGAACTTTGGAGGTGTGGAAAAGTATTCCTGCAGACTTCTTTGAAAATCTGAAAGGAAGCTGAAATGAAGGCAAAGGTTGGACAAATTAAATGAAAGCAACAAAAATACTGAATATGTTAAATTTTATGTAGTCATTGAGGCTTTTGTGGAATTTTCTGCTTTCCTGATGGTAAAAAAAGAAGGGTGGCCTTTTTAATTTTGCACAGTACTGTAAATCCACAGTATGTAAACAAAGTGTATGAGGTATCATCTCATCAATTTTATAGAACTGTTTTTTTTCTTTTTATTTGCTTTATTTTACAACGTGTGAACATGTCATGATGAATGGACCAATAGTAATGCTCAAAAATTACTTAAAAAAATAAACACAATAACATATATTCAAGTTAAGAACATTTTTTCTTCACTTCTAAAGTTACCATTTTAGAAATGGTACTATTCCCAGAGACTATAATGACATTAGCATGGCGACAGTAGAGTAGATAAATATGGACTGTTAGGTGCTATTCTGATACCGTTTTTAATCCTAACCATAAGTTCACACCTCACAGATTACATGTTTGCGTGTTTTCCCAGCTAACCTGACTGAGCTCATAAAGGGTTTGGGAATGCTGTGTCAATGTCGGTGAAGCAGGGAAAATTTTACCCCTAGAAGTTGCAGTTCTCCAGTGATAACAAAAGCATGTGGTTTCAATTCATGGCACATTTTGCTTGTAATTGGAAGAAGAGTCACTGAAACGAATGAAAAAAAAAGTTCAATAAAAAATATTGAAATAAAATAAAAAAAATAGAACTTCAGAGTCAAACCTGTTGACACGGAATGTAAACGTATTTCACCACGTTACTCTAGACTTTTAAGAATTAACAGGTTCAGTCCCAGGAACAACAGCAATGTCCTAAACATGAGTCCCAGGA